TGGAGCCAGAGGTAAAGCAGCGGCGCACCAATGAACACGAACCAAGTACATTGAGATTCTTTAAATTTATGCACATATTTTTTTCATTCCAACAGCAGCCGGAGACTGTCGAACTCCAATGTTCGGGGAGCCACTTAAGCTCGTCGCTGCCTTGGCCCCATATTCACGTCCGTCTGTAGCTCGAGTCGAGAAAAATCTGCAATCCAACCGAAAACAGTCGTCAGTCGTCCTCAACGGCTCAGTTGCTTCGTTCTGCCTGCTTTGGCTATTCGGTTTGTTAGCCAGCTGGATGCCGATGCCAATGTGGATGCGGATATAGATGTGGATGTGTGTATGGCACAGCATATTGATGGACCGCAACAAATTGGCTCCACGGTGCCCATGACCGTGGAGCAATCGCGGAAAACGCTTTGAAATTAATTCCACATTAGAATTACTTTAAGGCATAATTTGTGTGGGGTATTATTAAATTATTAATTAAATGCTTATGTAGATGCTATGATAAAGTTGATATAATATTTTGAATTACATTAATTCAATTTTTGTTTTGCAAATTGTTCCCTAATAAAGAGTTTCGTATATCGAAACGCTTAGTTTGGTTTTGCAAAATCATATACACATATATTGGAATCTATGAAGATGCGAACATTATAAATGTAGTTTTGTCTATTCTTTTGTAAGCTGGCATCAATTTAAAATTGAATGAAATCTACATCGATAAGCCTATGATATGTAAATTAAGCATTCATGAATAAATTTCAATTTGATATGATACGTTTTTGTTTTCGCTAATAAATTAATCAATAAAAATAAACAATTTATAGATATCAGAGGCTTTTATATAACATAAATATTTTTCTATAAGCAAGTTTCTTCAATGTTTCTTCGCTGTACATCCACTGTGCAACGTTCTTTATGACTCGCTCAACTTTTTCTATCCGTTATACTCGACAACGAATTGTAAAAAAACAACATGCAAGAAAATGAGAGAAAATAAAACAAATAAAAAACAGCAGCCAGGCAGCATACACGAAGATTCCTGTTGGATGTGCTGGCTACATCTATATATGTCTGTCTGTAGTTGTTGTAGTTGCAGCTTGGCAATCTGCCATCATATGACATAAATCCCCCAATGATAAAACCTACGATTGCTCCCCAAAGTTCGTGCCGTTCTCTAAGCCAAGCAATTTTCAGTTACGTCAGGACGACCGCCAGGAGATCAGCGCAACGGGCAGAGAATCGTAGAGCAAGCTATTTTCTGTAGTATCCACTTCAAGTCCCCCAACTAGAAATATTCATTACATACATTAAAAAAATAATATTACGCTGCCCTGACGAGCCAAGAAGTTTTGGCTATAAGAGACATCAATCTGGCTTACTTCGCAAATGCCAATTCCTATGCCAACTGAACGCCCGTCACCTCAACCATCGCAGCCAGCTCTTATTCAAATTCGGGTTCAATGCTCGCCGCCCCATTTGCCATTCATCGCTCCAAGCTCCTTTTCATTGACAGCCATTTTGAAGTTCCTGTAACTTAATTGGGCCCTTAACACGAACAACTATCAACTCTAAAGTTGTGTCTTGATCTCGATAAGCATAGTCCATTAATTGTAAAGGACTTCAAAGTTATGTGGACAAGCAATATATGTATGATAGCAATAGCAATATAGTAATAGTATGAAATGCTTTCAATTTACATTTTTGCTCAACAAAAAATATGATTTAATTTATTTCTCGTATTTTTTCTGGGGTGCATTAAAAATGTTGCTTGGCGTATTGTTAGAGCGTGCCATACGCTCAGTCCCTCCCACGCTCGCACACGCACTCTCTAAAACAAATGCAGACAAAGTTTTATTTTGTTCTTATGCGGCCGCAGCATTTTCGACCGAGAATACAAATTAAATTCCACAACATCATCAAAAGAATATGGTACAATAACAAGAATTCATCACTGTCCGAATTTCTGCCTGCCTGTCTGTCTGGCCACTGATTTGCCCAAATAGTACTCTGCTGTAATATGAGCCGTTATTTTCTATTGAAATGGGGTGGGTTTTGTGCACACAGCTTGGCTGGCGTCTATATCAATGGCCGCCGCGAGCGAGAGTTGTGCTCTCTCCCTTCCTCTAACGGCGAGAGCGAAAAGGATGTACAGTGTGTGTGGCGAGTAAGAAATACTTATATGCAGAGAAGCCTTAGCGAAGTACAGTGGTTGTTATCGCTTCAATTACAACTAGGTTGCTAGTAGTTGTTGTCGCTGCTCTGGATCCATGGCGCCCGCAACGATATTCTAAGTTTTAGCCACTGTAGTGAACTGTTCTCTACTGTTATAATTAATTTCGGGACTGCTAAGTGGAATGAGTTGAAAACTGGAGCAGTTAGCGCTTTAAAGCGGAACAGCTGGATATTCTTTATTCGCCCTTTGTCTATGGCCAATTAATATTTCATTTTTACGACTGCTCTTCTAGAAATCCACAGCTCGGCCATTTGGCAAAACAAACCAAGGAGAGAGCAAAAAGGGTCTGCAGCAAGCTCCAATGGTAAACACCTTATGCCGCCTAATAAGCTTAGCTCATTGGAGTTTTGAGTTAAGGTGCAACCTTTTGAGTCTCTGCCCACCATTCTCTGATTAAATTTGTTGGTCTTTTAATGTAATTACGACAAACAATCGGCCTCCAGAGGCGTTTTCAGCTTCGACTACTCATGCAAATTTTGGCTGCGAAATTAGTAAAATTTAATTAATTTCAGGCCATTGGCCATTCGAGATGTTGATTAAAAACTTTGACTAAGTGATGACGAAAGAATCATCACTACTCTCCAGTAGCTTACCCAGCTCTATATGACAAAGAATAACATATTCATGAGCAACTTGTTGTACATACTTATTTAATTTTGGTATTTTTATTGTTTTCTATCAACGGGTTTGAATAAATTATTCGAGTACAATACACATACAAAATAATTTTGAGTAAAATTTAGTTTCTGATAGGTGAATACTGTAGGGTTATTAGAAGAATATAAGTAGACGGTGCACAAACGTAAAGCTATCCAGTGCAGACGCAATTTCATTATTTATTCAAAAGATCATCGACATGGCACGCCGAAGCCCAACTTCTTCTTCACTTGAGCGCTCGGCAAATTCATTTCGCCCTCTGCCAGAGATACAGAACTATGTGCTCAGTTATGTATATTTAAATATATAAATATACGTATTCGTATTTATATCGTTCAACGTTGTTCTTGATCCAAATTTCAGCAGCAGTTTGTGCGCGTTGGTGGCATCCAAACATATAAACAAGACGTATTAGGAAATTTGTAAACAAAAATCTATTCGACTAATTTTAGATGCCTTTGAACTCGAATTGCAAATAATATCTCAAGTAATTGAGTCATAGAATTGGATGTTTCGGAGCAACAGGAAAATCCAATTTTAAACTTTGTATGGAAACCTAGTTCAAGCTCTTTAATAAAAACAAATTTATATATAATAATAATAATAACATAATTACATATAAAAGATATCTTCAGTGCTAAAATGAAACTATCAATATGTAAAAATGACCGAAAAAGAGGTATATGCGTACTAGAGCTATTTATTCCTGTTAAATTTACAATTTACGTTGGATTCTTAATTTTCCCTTTACAAGACTTTTAAATAAAATTCCTTTGATTTTAATAATTTAAAAGTCAGGTAGAGTCACTAGTCAAAATGAGTTCATGTATCATGAATTAAAAACTGGTTAACTTTAAATACCGTAAAGTCGAATCGTAAGTAACAAATCGTTTAATTTGGGTCATTTATTACTTAAGCAATCGCAAAGCTGAAGAAAACACACATATAATCTAGGTATCACCTGTCAAGAAAGAAAGATGAAAGAGCGTTTTAATTAAAAGCAAAAACACTGGCAAATTGCGACCACAAATTAAGCAACCAATTGAAGCGGGTGTGGAAAGAGCTTAATGAAACCACCAGCGGAAAGAACTCGGATGTTCAAACCGCACGCAAGCCCAGGCAAGCAAATAAACGAGGTATTTATTTATGTGGTTTCTAAAGACGTCAACTATATACCTGCCAGAGCAAGAGCGCTCTGAGTGCCTGCCCGCAAAACTCGTCTCAGCTGAGAGCAGCTTACATAATTGACTGTCGGGATAATTTACTTCCGTGCACTTGCGTGTTTATTAAATTTCTGGGGTTGTCTACGGGCATCGATTCAGGAAACGAACACAGGGTCTGGGCTGTGGGCTTGGGATGGAGCGACAATAGCATTGGAAATACGATAAACGAGTCAAACGTTGATATTTCGTAACCACGTCTAGTTACATATTGCTCATATATTGCTCATTAGTTGCCCCAGTTTGAGCTTGTGGCTGGCGTGTACTGCTAGACTTAATGAAATGAAAGTGTACAATGGTACAAAATGGCAAAAATGGCGATGTCTTTTAACGAAAATAGTGTATAAATATGTATATAGATATATATATATATACAGGTATATCTTGGATGAAAATTAATATATATAAGCAATGAGCCTCAGTTGCATTCAGCTTTATTTATATAATATAAAATGATATTCCAACTAAATGAGGATACATTCCTTTTTGCTTTATTTGTTCGTTTTGTGCTGAGTGAAGGCCATTGTTCTGCTTAGATTGCTTCAATTCGTACCTGGAGAATGAAACGAAAACTTGGTTCGGCGCTTTCGAGTCAAAGGCGCTGCAAGTCACGTTCTGCAGCCAACCCATTTACTTAGCTAAATGATGGGGGTTGTACCTGCCGCCATCGTAATCCCCATACCTCCCTTCCCCGCCCTAATGGCGGGGCATCGACAGGACATCAGCTTGCGCAAGGCTCGCAGAACAACCACCCCGAACAAGAGTTTTGCACAACTTGATACGTGGTCGTTGCTTGATGGGAGGAGAATTACAGTGGATAGGTATACCCAATTGATGAAAATCTTTCGGCTGGGCTACATATGAAAACACGTTTCTGAGCTTATCGTCGGGATATGGAAATTTCGCCATTTATTTGATCAACTTTTTTGCCTTTTTTCATATCGAGACGGCATTTGCCGAAAAATAAATGGCAAAAGGTACAAAACTTTGGCCCAACTATTTCTTATGCCGCACACACATTCCTATTTCCTGGAGGATTGTATGTAATTTAGCAAAAATCATGTTTGCAAATAAAACTGGAAAGCATCATAAGAAAGTTGCGCGCCTTAAGGGATGTAGTCTGCATCGCATCTGCTTTTGTATCTTGTGCTAGTTGCACCTGTGCCACAGTTTAAATTGAAAGTTTATGACTACCTTCATTTCATATATTTATATATTAGTGTGTAGTATAGACTCACCCGTAACAACTGCCGTCTAAACTGTTCGCTCCTCAGGAGGCCCGGCCAAAATTATCCAACTGAAATGCCATGGAGTTACAGTTAATTAAAAAATATATGTAAGCTTCTTCGATTTTTTGAAATTTTATATTATTCAATTATTGAAAAGTCGTTTAATAAATGCTTAAAGAATATAAATAAAAATATATATTAATCCGATTAAAGAAAACAATTTGGTATAAGAACAGTTGATTTTACAGCTTATATAGGATATAGAGCAGTAGCTTGATTTCTAAATTAGAAATTTCTAGAAGTCGAAGACTTGCAAATTAGAATTAATATTTAAATAAAATAATGAGATTTTTATATTTGGTTGGATTTATACTGATACACACGAAGACTTGCAGTTAAATAAGGAGACAGGTGAAGTATTTATGAGCTAATTTCTTAGGCACATATTTCTATAGATCAATATAATGTAGACTAAATCTTGAAATGATTTAAATAATAAAAGCGATAGCATATCAAGTGAAAACTGTTCGCATTCAAAACTAATGCGAATGACACAAGTCATAAGGACGAAGTCATCCTTATTCTGACTAAGATTAAATAGTTTTTAATTTCATGTTTATTGCAGAGTTTGTGGGATCATAAATTCTTATTATCACCTGACAGAATTTTCAAAAAAATTTATTACTTTTACATTTTTTATTAAGGTATCAAGGAGACGCAACAGCCTTTTAGTCATTAATGCAGTTAAATAAGATAATATTAAAGCCCATACTTATTCGTTATATATATTCGCAGTTGATATGACGATTCCAACTTAAGTTTCAGCTGCATATGAATACATGATATGCATCGTTGCTTGACAGAAATTTACGAGAGTAGATCTTTCACCTCATTACCTTACATTGAATTGTGAGTGTGAATTATTTTCATAACAGGCTGTTACACAAGAGGCTCAAATTGTTGTATCCATGTAAGCATTCATACAGGGTAGGAGAAGGAGGAATAGTTATCTTTGCCATTCACTCTCTCAGACATTGGAGAGAAATGCTGTACACTCTTATTCTAAAGTCGAGTAGCTTCTTAGTGGATATATGAAATAGTAGTTCGAAGGATAAGTTTTGTAATAATATTGGAAGCTTGGATTTATATAGCAGTAGAGAAAGTATATATATCAGGAATATATATATAGAATATGAATCCGTTCTTTTGACCTTCAATGAGTAACAGCGTATTCGTATATACTCTTGGCTAGGGTATAAAAAAGCTCAAAATCATCATTGCATTTAAATGTATGTATATTCGAAACACTTTGGCAAGACCCAAGCAGATTTATGCCGGAACACGCTCCTCATTATTATTTCACGCTTATCATTTTATTTCAATGTTTCGGAAGCATTGGACCGCTCGTTGGAGCAGGCGTCGTCTTGTGTGCGAAAACCAAAAAATACGTAAAATGCAGTAAATTTATAGTTGGTTTTGTGGATGGGTTAGAGGCCGGAGAGATACAAGAAAAAGTTTTTATATTGATGTGGACCAACAGTATCGTAGCAGAGTGCGTCGTCACTGATGCATTCATATCCCATTGGGCCCAGTTTTCCGAACATCTACTCATGTCCCTGTATTTGCCCTGATGTGCGCTCCATTATTCCATGGTTATTTGATTACGTCTCCGCGAGGCAACGCGTTGCGATGGCCACACTTATCACACCCCTACCGAACACTCTTCACATGCTTGCGTTACTTTTATAGGTCGTGTGGTGTGCTGGCCTTATGGCCTGGAGATGCCCTCCTCTCTTACTCTTTTCCCCTCCTCCTCTTCATCGCCCGTTCACAATTTTATTCTGCGCTCACAGTAGCCCTCGACATCGTCACCGTCGAGTGGTCGCTTGTTTGTCTATTTGCTTGTTTACCAGTCACCCAACCAGCCCAACCATAAATACAGTATTCACCCATTGACCAGCTCCAGTTTGCCACAGCATTCATCTATATTCCACCCACTCCAATGGCATTCAACGACGTCATCATTTTTTCACAGACCAGTATGCATATTTTAGACAAGCTTTTTAGTTGTGTTGTTGTTTCTGCTCTTGTTTTCTGGCGTGTTGTTGCTGTTATTAGTCAAATACAGAGTATTCCCCAATGGAATATGCTCGTGTGCATAAATTCTAGTTAAGTCCATTGACAAAAAACACTTATCCCATATTACACGAGCAACTGCAAATATTACAGAGGCGACTGTCCTTCTATTGCTTCTACTGGAACTTCAGTCTCATCGATATGTATTTTTTTGGTTCACGTCTGTGTCTGGATTCCAAATTGGTTACATTTTCATAATGAGACACATTTCAGGGCAGTACAGCCATTTTCGTATCGAGCTCGAGACCCATGGCAACAGCATAAAAGCTCTTCAAACGACAACGCCCCAAGCCGCTAAACTTTTTCTCATTAATATTTTCCATTTTCAGAAGATTAGCAGCCCAAGAAAACTTTCTGAATCGTCGCGTTCCTTGGCGTTGATTTGTTGAATTTACTCTAGTTCAGACATATTTATGAATGGTGCTATCAAAATGGGTGACACGACTGCGGATAGAATTCCGAATTCCGTTGAGTGATGATCCGAATAAGCATCGAAAGCGATTTCAAGATGGTAATAAACTAAGAGAGTAAATCACTTCGCCGCTCTTAAGAAGATAGATTAATTTTGTAAAATAATAATTAATAAAATAATTCATATGGATGACCAGGCTATCCATTTCGAAGTCTCAAAAATATCTATGTATACAAATAAGACAAAGTTCATACCAACGGAATTCTAAATTCTGTAAATCTACCTAAATTTCACTTTACGACACCCGCTGTGGAAGTAGAACTTCCCTGTCGTGCTCAGCTGGTAAAGGGTTCGTTGTGCGTCTGTGACGCTCCACATACAATTACCCAAAAGAAGCAAACCAAAATTTTTCTACAAAAAATGAAGCATCACTAATGTTCCAGGAACCACGACACCGACACCGACACCGACACCGACGCCGACATCGACATTGACATCGACGTCGCGTCGTTGCAGCCTTTATTTCCCTTATAGAAAAGTGAAAGTCTCAGCCGAGCGATGCCGCTGTTTATGACAGCCATAAAAACTGCAATTTTCTAGCTGCAATTTTCTCGTTTTCTGTTCCTCATCTCAATTGGTTTCCAGTGAACGGGTTAAAATTGTGATCTGAGTTCTGTCCGCTTCTGTGGCTCCGAATATGGACCATGTACCCGTGGACCACATGCTGTCGGACAGCGCAAATATTTGCCATCGACAGCTGCCGTTGTGTTCCGTTGTTTTGTTTCGTTTTTTCAACGATTCGCTTTGTTATGACAATTGACTGAAGTCTATCTGCGAAATGAGTTTTATTGACCAATCGCCTAAAAGGCCTTTAGCTATATTTTTAGTTATTTCTATCTGCGGCTAACTAGAAGCTTCACATTGAAGCTGCAAATCGTAAATGTTAGGGAAAGCATATGCAACGCTGTCTAGTGGATCAACGACCCCAAAAAACCCATGCCGATCCTGATGCCATTGCAGCACATCTCCAATATTTCCACAATAAGATCGCAAAATATTTTTTAAATTCTTAACTCCAAATGGCTCACTGCTGGGAGCTGATGGTGCCTGCAATACTTAAATGCATAAATTGCAACTTTTGCAAATCCGATTAAATGCCCAACCGAGAAGAAACGGGTTTTCTGTTTGAAATTAAAATACGTATTGCAGTCGTATAGCCACACCCGTTGCCTGCGAGTGGAGCCACAGACATATCCATATATACTAAAGACAACTTAAGACCCTTAAGTATATATTTTATTGAAAGTATGTGGTCATTAGAAGCGTCTCTGAATTATGACTTTATTGTATAAGATCTGTATGTACCCAAAATAAAAGCCTCTTCTTAAGTGCTTAATAAATAAATATATATAAACTAAATTTTTTTAATATTCATTATAGTTATCGTTGTCTTCTCGTTTTTCTGTAAATATATATTTACTATGGGAAATAGAATAACTTCTGAATGTAATTTAGTGAAGTTGTTCTTTACAATTTGTACTTTATGGAGCTTGCCACGCCACTTAATGTAATTTCTAACGAAGCATTATCCATTTCCAAATCTATTTTAGGAACATAAATTTGATTTTTGCATGAGCAGCTGATAAGAGATTTTTATTATGCATAAAAAATATCAAATCGATCTGTGGCATAATAATATTGACAATGTAGTAAGCTTTTCGATTATTAGAATTATTTATCAGAATCAAGTGGTAAACGCATTTTGTATAATTCATTAAAAAGTAAAGTAAAAAGTAGTTGTTTATAGTAAAACAATGCCACTATAAATAAAATATAATAAAACAACGAAATAAAATTGTATCTGATTATTAAAATATAATGAAAATCGTTTAAATTTACCAGGCTGTAAATAAATTTAAGTAATTTGCAGTCTGCTTTCGCAAAAAGCGTCGTTTCCTCGCACATTGCTATTCAGCTTGCATTGCGCATGGTCGTGCTTTAAGGAAAGTTGTGCTACACACACACATACATATACGAGTTGATGTGTGTGTAACTGCAAAGGTTAATGTATGGTTGAACGAAATGTCAACCATATTGTAGCGATACACTCAAGTGGCCTGGACGCATCTGCATGGGAAATGAACGAAAGCGCACCGTGTGCATGTGCATGTACATGTGAATGTGCATGTACATAAGTATGTGTGTACGTGCTGTCACGTTGGCTACCGGTACAGGAATAAATCCATATGCTACTCCGTTATGGCATTTCGAAGCAGGCTGGCACTGTATGCATATAAGCTATTGGGCGCGGGAGCGAGACGACAATAGTAATGTCACTATGGCTGCTATGGCCGACACAGCTGTGCATCGGCTGGCGCAGTGTTGTTGCTGCCTCACTTGCGTTTATGCACTGCTCATTCTTCTGCGGATAAGCAACAGCAGCAGCAGCTTAAGGCTTGGTCTGATGCGTTCTTAAGCCATTGAGATATTCATTTCTTTTTTCGTCATTTAACCTTAAAT